TCACAAACTCACATCTATGTAAACCAAACGTGAAGTAAGACGCAGTGCTCTCCAAAATGGAAAAGCATAGGATTTAGAAAAATATTTTTTTCATAAATAATAATGGAAAAAAGCTCGCATAATACATCATTCTTATTGGAAACGACATGACGACACTGAAAGAATTTCCTCAGATCTTCAGCGACAGCTAAATCTAAGATTACACTTTAACGAGCTTTATGTCGCTTATCGATGTGTTTGGTTTGTTTTGTTTCTTGTTTAACGCCGCACTCCAGCAATATTCCAGCTTATATGGCGGCGGTCTGTAAATAATCGAGTCTGGACCAGACAATCCAGTGATCAGCAGCATGAGCATCCATCTACGCAACTGGGATACGATGTCATGAGTCAACCAAGTCAGAGCCTGACCACCCGATCCCAGTAGTCGCCTTTACGACAAGCATGTGTTACTGAAGATCAATTCTAACCCAGATCTTCACGGGTCTGCTATCGGCGGGCTTTCCTGGTTAAAATGATCTAGTGGTTAAAGCGTTCGCTCATCTCGCTAAAAATCCGGGTTCCGGTTCCCCACATGGGTACAATGTGTGAAGCCCACATTTTGTGCCCCTCTTTGGATATTGCTAACAACGGCGTGAACCTAATACTCACTATCACTCACTCACTCAACCTCTTCGTCGTATGGCGTCTTCTTCTGGGTTTCGGGTGTCATTCTCGTTGGTCTAGTTGATTGTTAGTCATAAGTAATAAATAAATAATGTTAAGGAATTTGTATAGCGCCTGAATCCAAGGTTTGCTCTAAGGCGCTTGGTCGAATGCTCCGTTGAAAAGAACTGTTTTTAGTTCTTTTTGGAATGGAATGACTTCTGACAAGTTTTTTTTTCAAGTTTTCCGGTAGTTGGTTCCATAACAGAGGACCTGCTTTGGCGATAGCTCGATATCGCCATAACTCGCTCTGCGGGTAGAGGGCACTACTGCTTGTTTTGTTAGTCATCGTACCCGGCTGTATGTGGTTTGCCTATACCATCAATCATGTGTTTCGAGAGACGTTATCGGGGCGGTGGGGTAGCCTAGTGGTTAAAGCGTTCGCTCGTCACGCCGAAGACCGGGTTCGATTCTCCACATGGGCACAAAGTGTGAAGCCCATTTCTGGTGACCCCCGCCATGATATTGCTGGATTATTGATAAAAGCAGTGTAAAACTAAACTCACCCAGTCAAGACATTATCAACTTCATATTGTCGTAGTGTTGATGGAGTGTTGCGTGTGTCGTAGAGAAGAATTTCACTGAAGCAAACAGACGTGCGGAATCTCTTGATATTTTACTGCAGCATCGTCTACTTTTTGGCATTTTCACATAGACACACACGGGATGCGAACATGTATGCTGACACCGATTTTAACCCGAACCGGTCATAGATATTGGTAGGGGTGACTATTGAAGGGGAAACAAGTATAGCGATATGGATAGTCTATTGCAACATACTATTGCAATAAGTTTTTTCTCTCCTTGAATTGTCTCAGAGGAAGTCATTTCCCAACTGAATGTGTAGTTTATATGAAATAGAAACAAGCTCAAATAGTTTCAGTCTCTGCTAATAACTGACAAGAAACTTGAAACCCAGATCAAGTAAACAGGTAAAACATAAACTCAATGAAGCTGGAAGTTGGCACCCAAACAATAACAAAATACAAAGCAACATATATATTTAATAAAAATATTTTGCTGCGCATTTATCAACGAGAGTTTTTCGTTTCTACCATCGATTAATTACTATCGGAGACTCAATTGCAATCCATCGATAGTTCGATGCATCGTTACAGCCCTATATATTGGGCACGTACGTTTGAGCGTCTATTTTAGAATGATTCCAATCATACCATAACATGGATAGAAGATGGAATAACACGTCATTTTATTTCCTTGGAATAACACATAGGTTGGTCGAAGGTTATCTGCTCTTATAATGGTTTGTGATCGTACAAAACAAAATCTTGCACTCACCGAAACAATAATACAGTCTGCATAATGGGACCTTAGTAAGGATGGGCTTCTGAACTAAATCTTACAAGTTACCTCCCTTAAGAGAGTATGGATCCACAGCATTACTGGTTCAAAGACAGTATTGGGCTTATGATTCATGTGCAGTAAAGCTCTTTATTCACGAGTGTGGATATATTCTAAACTTTCACTTGAATCACTTGGGCTTAATTCTTTCATTTTCTGGAACTCTTTGATAAAACTGAAATACTAAGAAATACGTAAGAACAGTCACAAAAACAGTCATTAAGATGCACGAGTGAGTGAATGAGCGAGTGAGTATGGTTTTACGCCGCTTTTAGCAATATTCCAGCAATATCACGACGGACGACACCCGAAATGGGCTTCACCCATTGTACCCATGTGGGGAATCGAACCCGGGTCTTCGGCGTGACGAGCGAACGCTTTAACCATTAGGCTACCCCCACCGCCCCTGCACGATGATATTCCATATTATGACTGCTACAACTTACAGGAGCCTTCACATTTTCACATTTTCATTCTCGAGATTGTCTGTGTAATGGTAACTATCTCTGGACTGTCTGGTGGCAACTTGACAAATCGTTTAAGTGGCGGAGCAGGAGCAGTCCTTTTGTGAACACCCGGTGTCCTCTCTGGCTTAAGTTGATCCGTTCATATAATATTCAAAGCTATTTCGACTTTTACATCCGTGAAATCTGTTTCGACAGTGAGTGAGTGAGGTAAAATTTAAAGTCACATCGGCAGTATTTCAGCCATATCGTGATTAAGAAACTGTTTCGACAGATGATTGAGACTGACTATTGCTCTCTGAAGTTGACGTTTTATACATTATAGGTAACCGGCACACGCCACGATCGGGGCACATGGACGCGACATTAGCCATCCAAGGGACGGGATCTGACCAGCGGTCAGTGTTGTCCATAACAACCACTCAACCGCTCAATGTCAACACTCAGTCTACCACTGCTGACGGATTAGCCATTAGCCATGCGAGCAATGCAAGACGTGAAACAGTTTCAGCCTTGGCCCTACTTATTAAAACAGTTGTATACATATAAATATCTACTTGATACCGAGCGAGTCTCATGAGCGAAACTTATCTCGAGTTTTTAAATTTCATCAACACCTGGATGTCAATAATCGCATAGAACTAGATCGTAGTGCTGTACAAGGCGCCATGTGAAACTAGTGTCGTAAGTCGATCAAAACTGCCCCGTGAAGATCCGGGTCAGCATCGGTCTTCAGCAACCCATGCTTGTCGTCAGTAGCGACTAACGGGATCGGGTGGTCAGGCTCGCTGACTTGTTTGACACATGTCATCGTATCCCTAATAGCGTAGATCGACGCTCATGTTGTTAATCACTGGATTGTCTGGTCCAGACTTGATTATATACAGACTGCGGCCGTATAGCCGAAATATTGCTGAGTGCGGCGTAAAACAACAAACAAACACACAAACAAACAACTAACATGTCAATAAAGTGAAAATGATCGCATGTTCTAACACACACGTTTCCAGTCCGCCCAAATGCGCTAAGGTTTAAACACACTGATAGGGAAAATACTTCTCTGCAACAAACAGTGAATTACGATAATGTTGTAACATTCCGTTGACAATAATATAGCACTCAATAACGTGGACATGTTTTAGACTAATGAAAGACGATTAGTATTTAAGGATTAGTGTAATACCACCTCACTGTATATATTGTCCAGTGAATGTAATTATGGTAATGCCTAATGTTATTGATTAGCGCATATTGGTCAGTTCTAAAGCCACAATACGTTCCGCCAGCTTTGCCGAACATGTATATAAGGTTAATACTGTCAAGGTCATTCTGAGAGTTGGTGTGACAGCGGACGACAAACAGGTGAGTGTTTTTATGCTGTTTCAGTCAAACCATTTTGAAAAAAAGGAGGTTTATTCAATAATATTTGGTACATACAGATGAACTTTTGTCAACTCTAATACTGGAATAAAAACGTTCAGAAATACACTGCTAGGCTAAAGAAAATATGCATCCGTGTATGATTGGAACTAAACATGGAACAAAGAAGAAATGGTTATTCGATGGGGATGTATCTGATAGGAGTATCATGGTCGTGGTTTTACAGTGTTTCAACGACTGGTTTCAACCTACAACGTCTTGATAACGCCTACAGGTTTTCATCAAGTCAAAATTTCAGGTAATGTCTGTCAGTAATACCAATGTTCCAGACAAACACCACCCCGTACCCAGGAAAACCCCTATGTGCCATGATTCCGGATGTACCATTAACGTTACAGTGAGTGAGTGAGTGAGTATGGTTTTACGCCGCTTTTAGCAATATTCCAGCAATATCACGGCGGGGGACACCAGAAATGGGCTTCACACATTGTACCCATGTGGGGAATGGAACCCGGGTCTTCGGCGTGACGAGCGGACGCTTTAACCACTAGGCTACCCCACTGCCCCATTAATGTTACATGGTCTTTCAGCACATTTAAGGTTTATAGGGGTAGGGATTATGAGTATTTAATACCATTCCAATGTATGTGAAGATATAACAGATTCAGATTCAGAAATTAATTATCTACGAAGTGAGCACACCTTGCCATTGGAATCAAATCAATGATCTGAGCAGAGAATGTACACTGTTTGAAGATAATCAGGAAGTCTTCAGGAGAATTAAAAACTCTGAAGAGAAATGGTAATTTCGGTATCTACATAATATACAATAACTAATAATATATTACCGTGTTTCCTTGATTTAACGTCCGGACGTATATTTCTGTTTAGCCCCTTTAAACAACGGCTTAATAATCGCAAGAAAATATAATGGGGAGAATTTCGTCCAAAATTAAATTATCCGGCGTTTAATTGAAGCCCGGACAATGAGTACCGGCTTGTAATCATCGTAACACGGTATATGCAGTGTTTTAACTCACAATGTAAATATAAACCCCCTCTTTTTCAGATTCATTGCTATATATTCATGCAATGGGTACCTTCGTCGACGAAGTCTTGCAGTGTCATAACCTGGTGAGAATTAAACATGGCGTGAAGGAACTGAAACACAACGCAGACTTAACTGCTCATGCGCAGAAATGGGCAGACAACCTAGCTACTACCGGCAAATTTGAACATAGCAATTGTGACTTCAGCGGTGAAAACATTGGTGAAAACATAGCCATGGCGTGGAAACCTGGAGGCGAGGCATTCAGTGGTGAGTTCAAAAGGCAAAATAGTTATTCTGAAATCTTGCTATCCACAAGATTACAAAAATATAAACAACCCCAAAACAGAATGGTCGCTGAGCTTTTATCTCCAAGGTTCTTACTGTGCTTAAGATTTGTTTGTTTGTTGTATAACGCCGAACTCAGCAATATTCCAGCTATATGGCGTCGGTCTGTAAATAATCGAGTCTGGACTAGACAATTCAGTGATCAACAGCATGAGCATCGATCTACGCAATTGGGATACGATGACGTGTCAACCAAGTCAGCTAGCCTGACCACCCGATCCCATTAATCGCCTCTTACGACAAGCATAGTCGCCTTTTGTGGCAAGCATGGGTTACTGAAGATCAATTCTAATCCAGATCTTCACGGGTCACTTAATTAAGAGGTGTGCACCTGTAGATGATTCGCCCACAGTTGGCTTTAAGTGGAATTATTAATGTATTTGACGTTAATTGAGTCATATTGATGACGTCACTCTAATAGTCTTGGATTTGATACTGAATCAGGAATTCCCTGACAATTCTGAACGTGCATTTTAAACTGCTGCAACTATAGAGGTGCAAGCGATGTACAGCGATTCGCCTGACAACTTTCAGCCGCTTACAATCTCACCAATCGCTGGATGAGGTCGCTTCGATCTCAAACCAAAATGGCGAATTAGGGAAATTTGAATTCGACGGCTAAACAAGAATTGTTTGACTTGATCAGCTGGGGAATTGGCAGACAGCTTACATCCCAGCATCCTCAGCTTGTTCCACATCTTCAACGTAGTTATCAACAATCATAAATTCATCACTCGTCATCGAGGATCTTCTAACACGTTCTTCATTAGGACCAGGCGAGCAAACGGTAATCGCTCCGCCATTTTGGAAGAGTGATAAACGCTTCAAGCAGTTTGCAAGCCCGGGTTAAGTGAGTGAGTGAGTGAGTATGGTTTTATGCCGCTTTTTAGCAATATTCCAGGATTATCAAGGCGAGGGACACCAGAAATGGGCTTCCACACATTGTACCCATGTGGGGAATCGAACCCGGGTCTTCGGCGTGACGAGCGAACGCTTTAACCACTAAGCTAAATGTGGACCAGACAGACCGGTGATTGATATCGTGAGCATCGGTCAACCTTAATTGGAAACGTTGACGTTGATCTACCAAGCCACCGACCCTGACCCTGTTAGTCTCATGCAGTGACACACAGGAGTTGCTGAAGATCAATATTATTTTCAGTCTAAGCCGGTTCTTCATGGATTTAAATCTAATTCTACCCGTGAAGATCCGGGTAATAAGTCTTCAGTAACCTATGCTTGTCGTAAGAGGCGACTAACGTGATCGGGTGGTCAGGCTCGCTGACTTGGTTGACACATGTCATCGTATCCCAATTGCGTTTTACTGATGCTCATGCTGTTGATCACTGGATTGTCTGGTCCAGACTCGATTATTTACAGACCGACGTCATATAGCTGGAATATTGCTGAGTGCGGCGTAAAACAACAAACTAAATAACCAACCAACTTATTTAAATCTATTCAGTCACTCTGATCTGCTCATTATTTGATTCTATTTACAGGGAAAGAAGCATGTGATATGTGGTACAGTGAAATCAGCAAATACGACTACAACAAAGCTGGCTACTCAAATGGAACGGGTACGTTTGAGTGTTTGCAGTGTTCACATAACGAAGTCTGGAGCAGATAAACCAGTGATTCATATTAGGCACAACGCTCTATGTCGTGGTATAATGGCTTGCAATATACCAAGTGCCCGAGATTTATTTCTCGTTCCACTGACATGCATCTCCTGACTATCATAGGCTGGTGACTGATCCTTACATGGAACAGACTGAAATTTGTTCGTCATTGTAAACCGACAATAATAAGTAATGAGTAATTAGTCCCCAGTAATTGTGAGGCTCGTGTCTGCTTGACCAGTGTGAGTGAGTGAGTTTAGCTTTACGCCGCTTTTTGCAATATTCCAGCAATATCACGGCAGTAAATTGTGGTTATGTTTACGTTGAAATGACGGGCAGCATCTTGGACAGACTCTCCAGCTTCCAAACGTCCGATAGCTTGGTTTCTCTCAATTTGAGTTAAGCATGGCATTGGTGAACAAGGAGTGATAGGCCCAATTTTGTGTGCACAGACTTATACCCACTAATGGTGGTGACAATTCGTGCGTGTTTGATTTCACGAAAATGTGTGCATGATACCCACATGTTCATTGGTGTGGTGCGTTTTGGTGATTCCTTTTTTTCATGTGTTTTTACTCGGACCTTCCAAACCGCAACAAAACTTATTGATAACTCCATCAGGCTTCACTATATGCCAAAAACGCATATCAATTTAGGGTTCTGAGTTTGTTTCCTATTTGGATAAAAACTTGCGTTTGTTATGCGTGTGAGTATAGCTGAAATAGTGTTCTCAAATCCAGCTCGGTTAAACAGAGGTCACGGGGACGGTGGGGTAGCCTAGTGGTTAAAGTGTTCACTCGTCACGCCGAAGATCTTGGTTCGATTCCCGACATGGGTACAATGTGTGAAGCCCATTTCTGTTGTCCCCCGCTGTGATATTGCTGGAATATTGCTAAATGCGGCGTAAAACCTTCTTCACTCAACAGATATGGCGACATAATGATTCTCCGACATTTGCTCTGCAATGCATGCCCAGCTCCATGAAATGAATGGTTGTCTATTTCAGGTCACTTCACACAGATGGTATGGAAAGGCAGCAAGGAACTGGGTGTCGGTATCGCTAAGGGACACGACGGGAAGATATACGTTGTCGCCAACTATCTACCGCCTGGAAACTATACGGGGCAGTTCCAGGAAAACGTATTCCCACCAAAATAAATGTTTTTATTGTGATTAAATATCGTTTGTCATCCTTGTTCTGTGTTCTTGTTATTGTAAATATTTTCTGCCCGTTTGGATGACCCTCTCCGTCCCCAAAGATTTACTAAACTACCAACAGGTTTTCTTTTTTCGTAGGACTGGGTCCTTCGGGCGTTTCTTACTACATGATTTACTGTTTGTTTGTTGTTTAACGCCGCACTTGGCAATATTCCAGCTACGTGGCGGCTGTCTGTAAATGGCCGAGTCTGAACCAGACAATCCAGAGATCGACAGCATGAGCACCGATCTACGCAATTAATATACGATGACGATACCAAGTCAGCGTAGTCACCTCTTACAACAAGCATGGGTTACTGAAAACCAATTCCAACCCGGATCTTCACGGGTACAAAAAAGAAGTAATATGTTTCAGAGGCTGCAGGATTCGACCTAATGGTATTGGGCGTGACGGACAAGCGTTCACGATATCCAGAAGACCAGGGTTTTGCTCCTTTCTTTACTTATTAACAGCGTCTGTATGTGGACAAATTGCCCCTTTCTATTGCAGAAGTGGCCCGTGAAGATCCGGGTTAGAATTGGTTCCCAATTGCGTAGATCGATGCTCATGCTGTTGATCACAGGATTGTCTGGTCCAGGCTCGAATATTTACAGACCGCCGCCATATAGCTTGAATGTTGCTGAGTGCGGCGTAAAACTAAACTCACTCACTCACTATTCCAGAAGTTACCATTATTTACAACCATTGCATACTTGTTCCTTTACCCCACCCAAATGACCAAATGAAATGCATAAGACATAAACAAGACACCTTGTCACTGGTAGGGCAGGGTGCTCTCACCTTGGCGTAGACATCTTACATAGAGATTTCTGAACAACCGTCAAACACTGTTGTGGCGAAGTTGGCATCAACATAAATGCTTCGAGCTATCAGAGGTTCGATACATAATACACAATGATGACTAAATAATAAAAATTCAGGAACCAACTTTTTACTTCCAGACAGCAGTAAGGAACAGTTGTATGGATAGACAACTTCTTTATAGCGTTAGATGCGACGTTTCAGCGTAGATGCTAACCCCGTTATAAAGCAAGTGATGTCTGCATCTGTCGCAACAAAGAAGTTGTCTATCCATAACAATTGTTACTCTTTATCATACCAGTTTGTAAATGTCACTTAAAGAAGTAACAGTACTTTCGACATTTCGAAGTCTGCCACATCTGTGTTTGAATGTATATACACACTATTTCAATACAGGGTCATAAGGTGTGACCATGTCATCTCGCAATACAGCTGTTCTGGACAAGCTTAGATCTGCATTCATCTGTGAAATCTGCACAAAAATGTCTACGATGTTCAAAGAAAACGGCATTTTGTGTAATAGATCAAATGAAATTGATTTGGGTAAACCACATGCTTTCCACATATAGTTTATTTACTTGTAAGCCGATTTTTGTATGATACAAAGGGAACGTTTTAACAAGTAAGCATAAATCTGACTAGCCAACAGACGTACCTCTGAATGTCTGTTTCAGGTGAATACGAAACATTGGTTCATTAATCGGTATTAGCTCTGCCCTTATGGCAACATTTAGAAGAAACGTTAACTTTAAAACGAACATGGAATAGTAAATAGAAACGAAAGTAGCTTTCGACTGGCGTAATATATGAAACATATTATATGAATAACGGCATAAACCGATAGAAATGGACTTTATTCGTTTAAACTGATACTGCTCTTTAGATAAGGTTAGACATTTGCTTTGTTTGGTGTCCTAAATTCAATCAACTGTGAAAAGTTCACGTGAATGCCTGGATCGTTTTAAGTTGATATTTTAGCTCAACCATAAAAACATATTCAATTATACCCCCAAATCCTCAGAATAGTTCGGTTCTATTTCATCATACATATTTCCTACCGATGAGAAAAGAGAAAAAAGCTGTTTTAAAAGTGATACCTACGTTTTGCCATTATGGACCAGAATTGAAATACTACATATATAGCTTGAATTTTGACAATGGCGACTGCTTTCAGCAAGGAATTCTAATAATGGTCGCCGCTCCATAACGTAGTGAATTGAAATACTACATATATAGCTTGAATTTTGACAATGGCGACTGCTTTCAGCAAGGAATTCTAATAATGGTCACCGCTCCACAACGTAGTGAATTGAAATACTACATATATAGCTTGCTGAATTTTGACAATGGCGACTGCTTTCAGCAAGCAATTCTAATAATGGTCGCCGCTCCACAACGTAGTGAATTGAAATACTACATATATAGCTTGAATTTTGACAATGGCGACTGCTTTCAGCAAGGAATTCTAATAATGGTCACCGCTCCACAACGTAGTGAATTGAAATACTACATATATAGCTTGAATTTTGACAATGGCGACTGCTTTCAGCAAGCAATTCTAATAATGGTCGCCGCTCCACAACGTAGTGAATTGAAATACTACATATATAGCTTGAATTTTGACAATGGCGACTGCTTTCAGCAAGGAATTCTAATAATGGTCGCCGCTCCACAACGTAGTGAATTGAAATACTACATATATAGCTTGAATTTTGACAATGGCGACTGCTTTCAGCAAGGAATTCTAATAATGATCGCCGCTCCATAACGTAGTGTAGAAGCGGTCGTAAAATCGCAAATATTCGTTGCTGCAGGAAATATATTATATGGTTACCATGAAGCCAGTCCGATCCAAGTCACAACACAAATTGTTTGTTTCTTGCCGCATTTAGCATTATTCCACCTATATGGAGGCGGTCTGAAAATAATTCAGTCTGGACCAGATAATCTTGTGATTGATATCATGAGCATCGATCACGTAACTGCGATACGATGGTGTGCATCGGCTAAGTCATCAAATCTGACCACCCGATCGCGTCACTCGCATCTTTGTTTGTTGTTAAACAACACACTCAGCAACATTCCGGCTATATGGTGTCGGTCTGTAAATAATCGAGACTGGATCAGACAATAGAGTGATCAGCACCAAGAGCACGAGCACATGTGTCAACCAATTCAGCGAGCCTGACCACCCGATCCCGTTAGTCGCTTCTTACAAGGGTTGCTGAAGACACTTCTAACCCGGAACTTCACGGGTCTACGCAATTGGGATACCATGACATGTGTCAACCATGTCAGCGAACCAGACCACTCGGTCCCGTTAGTCGCTTCTTACAAGCATGGGTTGCTGAGGACACTTCTAACCCGGATCTTCACGGGTCTACGCAATTGGGATACCATGACATGTGTCAACCATGTCAGCGAACCAGACCACTCGGTCCCGTTAGTCGCTTCTGAAGACAAGCATGGGCTGGAGATGATCAGTTCTAACCCGGATCTTCACGGGGTGAGTTGATGACGAACATAAAATGTTTTCGTTCATTGCAGAGTAAACGTGTTCACTTTGAGTCTATGCACAACTTTTGTTGGTTGTTAAAAACTGAAGAATCAACTGGTTGACATCATCCATCACGGTTCATGAGTACTTATTAGTGCAGTAGTGAGTAAGTGAGTATAGTTTTACGCCGCACTCAAGCAATATTACAGCTATATGGCGGCGGTTTGTACATAATCGAGTCTGGACCAGTCAATCCAGCGATCAATAACATGAGCATCAATCAACGCAATTGGGATACGATGACATGTGTCAAGCAAGTCAGTGAGCCTGACCACCCGATCACGTTAGTCGCCTCTTACGACAAGCATGGGTTACTGAAGATCAATTCTAACCCGGATCTTCAAGGGTCTATCAGCGCAGTAGGTCAGACAAGGGTCTTTACTGTGGGCACACATGTGTGTGTGAAAGGGTATTTCACACATGTACGTCAGCTCGTGGGTGGAGCTCACGGTCTTCCAGCCGTCCTCACATGCTGCCAGCTTCACCAAGGTTGTCGAGGAACGTGGATAGTTGGGCAGCCAAGGGAGATAAGTAATGGCGCTTCCATCCGACCACCAGTAGGTGTCGTTACTCACGTCCCTGTATCCACCAATCCAGAAACACCCTGTGGGAAACAAACGCAAACTTGGGTTAAATGTTGAGTCCTAAATAGCCGAAGAAACACATAATGACATTTTGATTGTTTGATTGTTTTCGGTCAGATCTGGGGCAGTGAGGTAGCCTAGTGGTTAAAGCGTTCGCTCGTCACGCCGAAGACCTGGGTTCGATTCCCCACATGGGTGCAATGTGTTTATGATGTCATCCGCTGTGATATTGCTGGAATATTGCTAAAAGCGGCGCAAAACTAAACTCACTCACTCGGTCAGATCTTTGCTGTGAGTGTCTACATACCACCCAGTGCCAATAACAAACAAGCAGCTGATGTAATTCATAATCTCGTTTAATCCCTAGAGCTGATTTGTCCTGATGCGCCGAAATTCATACTTGGAGATTTAAATGGATGTACCCTGAAGTCTGTGCTCCCCACCTACAGTATGTAACATGTTGTATGCGGACAGACAAGACTTGTGTTATGGTAACATCAAGAACGCCTACATATCATAAAGTAAACCACCCCTAGGAGCTTCTGACCTTCACTGACTCTAAGCTGAACTGGACCTCTAACACTGAAGCTCTTTACAAGTGTCAGCAACGTCTTTATATCCTGCGTAAACTGAGATCTTTTAATGTTAACCCATCTGTGATGTCATCATTATATGTAGCAACTATTCAGAGTAGTTTAACATTTTCCTTCCATTGTTGGTACGGCTCTCTCAGTTCATCTCAAATCTAAAATAGACAAACTTGTTAACACTGCAAGTAGAATCGCACTGGTCAGATTTGAATGTTTATCATCAATATATGAGCGGCAAATCGTGAATCAAGCTGTCATCTAAATCTCACCCAACTCACTACTTAAATTCGGAATACATCCTCCTCCCTTCAGGCCGCCGCTACAAAGCTCCAATTGTGAAAACTAAGAGAGCCCGTACATCCTTTATTCCCAGCACTTTATCTCTCTTAAACAAACGTGAAGATGCTTACATTCATGAATTTATGTAAATATGTT